TCTATTTATCTTTGTTTTTGTTGTGTTTGCTTCTAGGGTGTCTTGGCCATAAACTCTTTGCCTAGGCCAATGTCTAGAAGAGATTTTCCAATGTTATCTTCTAGAACTTTTATGGTTTCAGGTCTTAGATTTAAGTCTTTGATCCATCTTGAGTTGATTTTTGTATAAGGTTAAAAATGAGAATCCAGTTTCATTCTTCTATATGTGGCTTGCCAATTATCCCAGCACCATTTGTTGAATAGGATGTCCTTTCCCCACTTTATGTTTTTGTTTGCCTTGTCAAAGGCCAGTTGGCTGTAAGTATTTCACTTTATTTCTGAGTTTTCTATTCTGTTCCATTGGTCTATGTGCCTGTTTTTATACAAGTACCATGCTGTTTTGGTAACTATAGATTTGTAGTATAGTTTAAAGTTGGGTAATGTGATGCCTCCAGATATGTTCTTTTTGCTTAGGCTTGCTTTGGCTATGCAAGCTCCTTTTTTGTTCCACATAAGTTTTACAATTATTTTTTCTAGTTATGTTTAAAATAATGACAGTTGGGCACAGACACTCATGCCTATAATCTCAACACTTTGGGAGGCCAAGGTGGGTCAGGAGTTCAAGACCAACCTGGTCAACATGGTGAAACCCCATCTCTACTAAAAATACAAAATTAGCTGGCCATGGTGGCACATGCCTGTAATCCCAGCTACTCAAGAGGCTGAGGCAGGAGAATCACTTGAACCCGGGAGGTGGAGGTTGCGGTGAGCCAAGATCACGCCATTGCACTCCAGCCTAGACAAGAGTGAGACTCTGTCTCAAAAAAAAAAAAAAAAAAAAAGATGGTATTTTGATGGGAATTGCGTTGAATTTATCGATTGCTTTTGGCAGTATGGTCATTTTCACAATATTGATCCTACCCATCCATCAGCATGGGGTGTGCTTCTATTTGTTTGTGTCATCTATGATTTCTTTCACAAGTTTTTTGTAGTTTTCCTTGTAGAGTATTTCCCCTCTTTAATTAGGCATATTACTAAGTATTTTATTTTTTGCAGCTATTGTAAAGGGGGTTGAGTTCTTGATTTGATTCTTAGCTTGGTCACTGTTGGTGTATAGCAGTGCTACTAATTTGTGTACATTGATTTTGTATCCTGAAACTTTACTGAATTCATTCATCAGATCTAGGAGCTTTTTGGATGAGTCTTTAGAGTTTTCTAGGTATGCAGTCATGTTACTGGAAAACAGCAACATTTTGACTTCCTCTTTACCAATTTGGATGCCCTTTCTTTCTTTCTCTTGTCTGGCTAGGACTTCCAGTACTATGTTGAATAGAAGTGGTGAAAGTGGGCAACCTTATCTTCTTCCAGTTCTCAGGAAAAATACTTTCA